TGTGATGTGACCCCCTCTCTCTCTCTCTCTCTCTCTCTCTCTCTCTCTCGCGCTCTGTCTCTCTGTCTCTCTCGCTCTCTCTCTCTCGTGCTCTGTCTCTCTCGCTCTCTCTCTCTCGCGCTCTGTCTCTCTCGCTCTGTCTCTCTCGCTCTCTCTCTCTTGCGCGCTCGCTCTCTCTCTCTCTCTCTCACGCTCTCTCTTGCTCTCTCTCTCTCGCTCTCCCTCTCTCTCTCGCGCTCTCCCTCTCTCTCTCTCTCTCATTCGCTCGCGCGCACACACACACACACACACGATGCGCAAAACTCCGCATTTGAACAGTCAATAGCAAATACTTAAACTAATAACAAAACAACCCAAACCTTTAACACTATTCTTTTGCTGCCATGCAAACACTAGTATTTCCTTCTGGGAATGCAAATCTAGGCATAATTCAATGCGGGAAATGTAAGGCATAATGCCATAAGTTTGCATTCTTACATCACTCCAGTTGCCCACTTTCCAAAATGCATTCCTACTGACGAGATCTCGTGCATTCAGGTTCCCGTAGTCATCCGTGGTGGTCACCGTCTCTGGCTTCAGCCTGCTTGTTTTAGGCACATTACCTTTGCTGGGACTGTTTGGTGTTTGTGAGGCTTTTCTCAGTATCTTCACTGTAGGAACAGTTGCTTGTGGACTGTGAGTATTCAAATGTGGCACTTTAGGGTTAGGGATGGTATTTGGTTCATATGAGTTTGTTGTTTTCTGCAACACTGGGGATGTTGTCAAATGATCATTGTATTGGGTTCTACTAGTAGTGGCTGGTTTTGCTGTGGGGATGTTAGTATGCAATGGTGGGACAGCAGATGTGGAGACTTCTTCAGGTGTGCTGGTAAACATGTCATCCTCATGTGCCCTTTCTTCTCCGGTTGGACCTTCTACTATGTAATCATAACCCGGCGTGTAGCTTTTATCCGGACGGCGTAGGTCTGTGCTTCCCTCCTCGTCCTCAGTATTTGTTGGAACCCATCCAGGACCACCTTTGCGATCATCCCTCACCAGGATAAAGTCTTGGTCGTCTTCATGGATTATGTCAGATGTTGTGGATGTTGGGCAAGTGTTGGTCGTAATGGTAGTAGAGGTGTTTGGAGGCATGATAGTGGTGCTATATCCTGGTGTTTGGGTCCCGGGGGCCTGCGTTGGGATTTTAGGAGGGACTCTAGGTCGGAATCGTGAACCCGTCCATCTGTTAGTGGACGAGCAGCTCTGGAGGTTACAGAGGATCGTGGAACGAGGTCGATTGGCAGGGTTGCACCGGCCGGGTTGTTTTGCCACACACTTGACGACTCTTGACTTTATCCCTCCATCGCAGGACAGAGAGCACTGCGGGATGACACGCAATCATAAGTTTGGGTAACACAAAAATTTAATAATATGACAATGCAACTAATTACTACGTATGAATCAGGGCTGCATGATTTGGGGCACATTTCTTCTGAAAAAACAAAAAAACTATTTTGCCCACATTTTGTGATTATACATCAGTATGGCTATACATTTTTATTATTATTATAAAAAAATAAAAATAAAATACTTATTAAAAACAAAATTAGAAATATTGCTATTGTGATATATCACTGTAAAAAAATACATTGAGTATTTTAGAAACAATATAATAATTTTACATTACAATTGTGAAATTACAATACTAATATTTACGGCTGTCTTAACACAATGTTGTGCTTCTCTCTAAAACATTCCAGGTATTCATTTACTTAATTAAATTGCAGCATTTGCAATAATCGCACTAAGCCATTTAGAAATTTCGGTTTTATTTTGATTAATTGTGCAGCGCCGCTATGAATATGTACATGCACGACTGAGTTTTGACAGACAAAAGATTTTCATTGAACAACTAACTTGAACTTCGGTCTCTTCCTCACACAAGGCTATTGCATGACTTCAGAAGTTTTGAAGACTTGAAATAATGCACAAATCATTATATATATATATATATATATATATATATATACACAAGTTTTATGAACAGTTTTATGACGTTTACTGTGGTTTTTGTCCTTATGAGCGTCATAGCTCAAAGTAAGTCAAATTGTAAGAAAAAAGTCATGAAACAAAATGAGGGTAAGGAAATGATGACAGAATTGAATTTTTCAGGGTGTTTAAAATTTGTTTAAACCCTGAACAATTCAAAACAATCTACAAAACATGACACGGAGCCACTAAGAGGACATGGTGATAGAAAAATATTAGGAAAAAGGAAAAATTATATTTCAATTCATTTGTGTTTGAGGAAAAGCAATCCGTTCCCCTGTCAAACTTTGCATTCGCTTGCAAAACATTTGCATTCCCGTTTGCCCACAAAAGATCTGAAATATAGTCACACCTCATTACAGTATTTCCATCACAAAAGTTTTACGAAAAAACGTTTCTCGAGGGAATGCATACATTTTGTGAACAAACGCAAACGTTTTTGAGAGTGAACGCAATGTTTCTTGAAGGAACGCAAAAGATTTGTGAGTGAACGCAATGTTTCTTGGGGGTGCACAAAAGTTTTATGAGCAAATGCAAAAATCTTACAAGCGAAAACAAAGTTTCTTGGGGGAATACAAAAGCATTGAAATATAATTTTCCCTCCTCCCATTTTTTTTATCATCACCATGATGAATGTAAAGTACATTCACCAGGTTAATTTATAAGAAAACTACCCACCTCGCTCCAGTTCCCCACAGTCCATTCGGACCCACATGGTACGTCTCGGTTGCAAGGTACCACAGATTTGGGTTTGAGAAGCTGCTTACAGTCCCCAGGGTGAAGAACCCGCTCCTCTCCGGCCACAGTCCGCACACACAGAATAGTGCGCTTTTTCACTCCGTTTGGACCGCATGTAGCCGAGCATGTCTGCCATCCTCCCACCCACCACCTGAGGTCAGTAGTTTAGGTGCACAGAGCATTCAGTGCAACTATTGGCATGTAGGAATGGAATACTAGCATACTGCTGACTACATACTCCACAGTATACACTAATACCATTCAAAGGTTTGAAGATATATATATATATATATTTTTTTTAAAGAAATTAATACTGTTATTCAGCAAGGACTCATTAAAATGATCAAAAGTGATAGTAAAGGCATTTATAATTTTACAAAAGATTTCTATTTCAAATAAATGCTGTTCGTTTGAACTTTCTATTCATCAAGTTATTCTGAAAAAATATAGTCCACAAAACCATGAAGCAGCACAACAGTTTTCAGCATTGATAATATTAAGAAATGTTTCTTGAGCAGAAAATCAGCACATTAGAATGATTTCTGAAAGATCATGTGACACTGAAGACTGGAGTAATGATGCTGACAATTCAGCTTTGATCACAGCAATAAATTACATTTTAAAATATATTACAATAGAAAACAGTTATTTGAAATTGTAATAATATTTCATAATTTGACTGTTTTTACTTGGTGAGCTTGGTGAGCATAAAAGACGTCCTCAAAATTATTTCCAAAAAACCCAAACTTTTGAACAGTACTGTACGCTCTTTATGGCCTACTATTTTATGTGAAACAATATGCAATAGGCAAAGTTAAAATTTCCTATTTAAAGAAAATAAATAGCATTTTTAATCTAGGTTTATGTACAATTAAAATAATGAGTCAAGAAAAAGATTTTAAAAACCTCAGTTGATATAATTTCTGGTTCTCCATCACACTGGAAATGAAATGCTGTGCTGAATTATGCTATACATGTAGTTGATCAGCATAGTATACTGCAGTGTAATGATCATTCTGGGAATTATTGTAGGTCTTTTGGGTACTCTATGCATACGGAAATGCTGCATTCTATATGCAGTATACATATTACATACTGGAGATATAATAAATAAGACTAATATGGTGGCGTAGCCATTATTTAGTAGTGTACCTTGCAGGGCAGTCCATGTTCTTGCACTTGCGATGCCTGTCACCAATGTTTGTGCATTACTGTAAACACAATTTTGCTTGTTTTTATAAACGTCATGGTGTCTATAGAGTTTAATTGATATTGAACCCAGAATATTCCTTTAATATATTGCCATATGTAATATGGCATATGTGACCCTGGACCACAAAACCAGTCATAAGGCAAAATTTTTCAAAATTGAGATTTATACATCATCTGAAAGCTGAATAAATAAGATTTCCATTGATGTATGGTTTGTTAGGATCGGACAATATTTGGCCGAGATACAACTATTTGAAAATCTGGAATCTGAGGATGCAAAAAAATCTAAATATTGAGAAAATGTTGGTCCTGCTGAGGTGAGATTCTCCATATTACCGGTCCGATCGTAGTAAAACTTAGTGCCACCTGCCTCGTACTCTCCGTTCCACTGAATTATGTAATTCCCGTTGAGGTAATACTCGTCTGAATCAGCCGCTCGGATCACAAGGAAATTCCCAGCCTCTTCCACTTCCTGTATGAAGATATTCCGAGCTCCCTCAGGGATCAAAACTAGGTCCGTGTAACCTAAATCACATAATCTCACTTGTAAGCCACTTAAAACATTAGTGTACACAAAGACATTCATGTGTACATATCATTTCTGAAATCTAATTTAGTATATAATATATAAATATATATATATAAACATAGAAGTCATGTGTGCTACTCAGAGGCAGGGCTAGAGATTACTAGTCTTACACACCAAATCCATCTTGCTCCACAAAGTTCTCCTTCACAGTCTCACAAGTGGATCCATCACCAAGACAAACGCCACAGCCGTCCTCTTTAGCATTAGAATTGATGCCAAAATCACAACCCACCTCCTGGAGAAAGATTACACATACATCACAGAAATATATTATAAAAGCATGGTTAGTAATTAAATGGACAGTTCACTCAAAAATGAAAATTTGTTTTCATTTTTGGATGAACTATCCTTTTATGGGTGATTTATCTGCATACGGACCTGTAGGTAGTATATCTGGATAATATACACCATTGTTTAAAAGTTTGGGGTCAGTAAGTTTTTTCTTTTTTGAAGAAATTAATACTTCTATTTAGCAAGGATGAATTGAGGAAAAGTGACATTTATGTCATAAAATTGTCTATTTCAAATAAATGCTGTTCTTGTGAAACTTCTATATATCAATGAATCCTGAAAAAAAAAAAAAGCATTTCAGTTTCCACAGAATATTAATCAGCCCTACTGTTTTCAACATTGATAATAATAAGAAATGCAAATCAGTATATTAGAATGATTTCTGAAGAATCATGTGACACTGAAGACTGAAGTTAAGTTAGTGGAACATGTTCCTAGTTAATGTAATGAACTAGACCTGTGTTTACTTGAGGAAAAATTAGTTCATACATCCACTAAAAATGACCAAAACACCAGCTAATTAAAAGACACCGAGCAACAATAATGAAAAAACGAGATGTCAGTGAAGCTCGTGCAGCACAGATACACACACTTGCTTTGATATTTTGATAGATGATTTGTCACTTAAGTGCACTTTTTATACATTACTGTACAGCTACAGAACACAGACATAACATCAATACACCAACGCACACATGAGCACAAATGGGTTGAATGTAAGACATACCCAGCCACACTACCTTGCACACACCATTGACACAGATGTTTCTGCTGTTGTTGTTCATAAAGCAGGGCGTTCCATCTGTAACCGCATCCAACATCTTCTCAGAAAAGGCCTCATCCACAGGCTTGCAGTGCAGCTCACATGGACGCGCTGGGAGAGAGACAGAACAGGAGAGAAAGACAGTGCTATTTACTGTATGATATAGCGAAGCATTTTAATATAATACTGTTTGCGAATGCATTTTACCAAAACATTTGATAGATTTAATATCATGGAGAACACAAAAAAGTACAATGGGATTACATAGAAGAATATATACTGCTGTTCAAAAGTTTGAGGTCTGTAGGACGTTTAAATGTTTTTGAAAAAAGTCTCTTATGCTCAACAAGGCTTCATTTATTTGATTAAAAATACAGTAAAAGCAGTAATATTGTGCAATATTATTACATTTTAAAATAACTGTTTTCTATCGCAATATGTTTTAAAATGTAATTTATTCCTGTGATGCAAAGCTGAATTTTCAGCATCATTACTCCAGTCTTCAGTGTCACATGATCCTTCAGAAATCATTCTAATATGCTGATTTGCTGCTTAAGAAACATTTATTATCATTATCAATGCTGAAAACTGTTGTGCTGCTTAATACTTTTTTTTTTTTCAGGATTCTTTGATGAATATAAAGTTCAACAGAAAGCATTATCAATGCTGAAAACTGTTGTGCTGCTTAATACTTTTTTTTTTTCAGGATTCTTTGATGAATATAAAGTTCAACAGAACAGCATTTATTTAAAAATAGAAATATTTTGTAACATTATAAATGTCTTTAATGACACCTTTGATCAATTTAATGCATCGTTACTGAATAAATGAGTATTAATTTCTTTAAAAAACAAAAACAAACAAACAAAGATCTAACTGACTCCAAACTTTTGTATGGTAGTGTAACTTTTTTGTAACCCTAAGACCCAAAGAAAAAAAAAACACAAAATTTATAATTAATTGGTATTGTTACCATGCAAACATCAAATAGTATTTAGGCTATAATCTACGATCCAAAACTCACGCTGCACTCCAACGGCTTAAACAGAGCAAACAACAATGACTAAACACTTGTGTCAGGAATCCACACACCTCTAAAGCTTGCTAATAAAAGTGGGGCGTTCTTGAATGTGAACCAACAAATTCTATAAAATTGTAAGCAGTCACGTGTAAGAAGTTTTATGTTAATGTCAACAGGCCTCAACCCGCCGCAGCGTGCATTAAAGGTAGGGTATGTAATTTTTCAAAAACACTTAAGAAAACTGATTGGGGCCGAATAGCAAAACAAACATGTAGCCAATCAGCAAAAAGGGGCGTGTCTAGTCGTGATGTGGAGGAGAGAGCTTTCAGTGCATGGGACGGACATTAGCATCATATGACCCCTTTAACACAGTATCTTGGCTCAGCTGTTCAACTGTAGAAAGCACATGTTTTCATCTCTCAAGTCTTCAGTGCAACTAACGTTAAATGCTTTACATTTGTGTAGTCAGTTGTGTTTATTCAAACAGTACTTGAGAAAAACAACAGTTGATCAACTAGACTTTTTCCAACTTCTGAAGAAAATGCAAGCGATGTAAAAGCCACGACTGCGATGCTAGGGTGTTCGGGTTCGGGCTTGTTTGATGATAATCAGAAATGTTTCTTGAGCGGCAAATCAGCTTATTAGAATGATTTCTGAAGGATCATGTGACACTGAAGACTGGAGTAATGATGCTGAAAATTCAGCTTTGCATCACAGGAATAAATCTCATGTTAAAATATATTCAAATAGAAAACACTTATTTTAAATTGAAATGATATTTCACAATACTACTTTTTTTTGTATTTTCGGTCACATACAGTAAATGCAGCTTTGGTGAGCATAAAGAGACATATTTCAAAAACATTAAAAACCTCACCGACCCCCAATTTTTGAACAGTAGTGTACATTTTGATGACCACAAATATTGATTTCATATCAAGCACATATACAAATTTGAATGCAATATTTTGATGCATGTGATGCAAAGTGATCTTACACGAGCTTGCAACAGGTATCCACTCGTAGAGTTCATTGTGGTAAGGCACAGTGTTAAATTCACTGCACTGCATCTCTCTAAAGGAGGGATGTTTTCTGGCACACGGCTTCGTGTTGCAAATTCTGTAGCGCTTCCGCTCGCCTGTACAATATTTGCCTCCAAACTCAGGTCTGAACATAGAAACAAAAATCATGCTACAGATCATGTTCAGCAAAATGTACAAGAAAAGACAGAGAAGGCGGAGGGATTGAAATTGAAGAGACTCAAAAGTGGTTACTTAAATACTTAAAATGGTGTGGTTTTAAGACGCTAGTCAATTTATGAGAGAGCCTAGTTACAGGAGTGCCCTCTAGTGTATTCTGCTGGTAGTACAGCAGATAATGGGCAGAAATGCACTCAACTTCACCTTTTATTTTGAAGTATGACAAACAAATAATTTGATTAGTAAATTTTAATTGTTTATATACAGGTGCATCTCAAATTTTAATATATATATACAGGTGCATCTCAATAAATTAGAATGTCGTGGAAAAGTTCATTTATTTCAGTAATTCAACTCAAATTGTGAAACTCGTGTATTAAATAAATTCAATGCACACAGACTGAAGTAGTTTAAGCCTTTGGTTCTTTCTTTTGTGATGATTTTGGCTCACATTTAACAAAAACCCACCAACTCACTATCTCAACAAATTAGAATACTCCATAAGACCAATAAAAAAAAACATTTTTAATGAATTGTTGGCCTTCTGGAAAGTATGCTCATTTACTGTACATGTACTCAATACTTGGTAGTTTTCCACGACTAATTTATTGAGATGCACTTGTATATATAATTCAGCTTTGTCATCACAGGAATAAAGCACATTTTAAAATATATTCACATAATAAACAGTTATTTTAAATTGTAATAATATTCACAATATGTGAATACACACACACACACACACAAAATATACTTTATAAAAATATTGATTTCTTTAAAACAAATCTTACCATATAGTTACAGTATATTTATGTATCTACATAAGCACATTGATATTAAAATATTGTGGTCTGTAAGAGTTTTAATGCTATTAAATGAAGTCTATAATGCTCACCAAGGCTGCATTTATTTGATCAAAGATGCAGTAAAAACAGTAATATTGTGAAATATTATTACAATTTTAAAAAACAGTTTTCTATTGTAATATATATTTAAATATAATTTATTCCTGTGATGCAAAGCTGAATTTCCAGCATCATTACTCCAGTCTTCAGTGTCACATGATCCTTCAGAAATCACTTTTGATCAATTTAATGCCTTCTTGCCAAAACCTTACTGGAAAAAAAGAATGAATAAAAGAAAAGCACTAAAAGGAATAATGAACAGAAGCAGCAGTAGAGATTGATGTGTACTTGGGTTGGTTGCATTCCCTGTCCGCTGACTGGACGCCGGCTCCACAGGTACGAGAGCAGTGAGACCAGGTGCTCCAGGAACCCCAACCTCCATGCACTGTTTCCGGTAACTTCCCTACAATCACACACTCACCAGAGATACACCACTGACACACATAAACACACAGTTAAATGCATAGTAATACAAAACGTTTTTCTTAATGTACAGTAAACCTCTCGTACCTTCTCAGGTCCACACCTGGTTCCGTCTATCGGCGAGTCCAGTTTGGAGCGGCAGGATCCATTTACAGAGCACCACAGAATCTGACACACATTCTGGAACCAAAAGAGCCTGAATTAATGGCTTGACAACCTGAAGATCCCCTTTCATTATTAGAGACAACGAAATATTTTAGAACCATATTTCATTCATCTTGAATGCACTCCTTACTTCCACTTCTGAGCAGAAGGTGGCGTTGGGTCCGTACTGCAGCTGGCACTGGTGCTGGGGGGTGTATCGCACTCCAGGTGCTGCCAGCGGAGAGCTGAGGTCTCTCTTAGATGGCCGGTCATCCAGACAGAAACCCCAACCACGACTGAGAGGATAACAGAGCTTTATGAATGAAGATCATAGTATGAAATACTCAAAACTTAGTGGTACGACGTAAGATATAAAGCATGCAATTACATGTTCCTGTACATGAGTGTGTGTTCTCACTCGAGAAAGCGTGTGATGTACTCCTTGCTGCAGGAGGACCAGGTGAGAGGAGAGGAGTCGTAGTGGAGCTGACGGGACATGATGAAGGGATGCCTCCCGACTAACTCACAGTCATTCCCTTGACCGTCATGATGGATTCCAAAACTACAGCACAAAACAAGGTGATGTCACCTTTTTTCCTTTTTAAACATGCAGTACCATTTAAAAGTTTGGGGTTGGTAAGACTTTCGAAATGTTTTTTTTAAAGAAGTCTCTTTTGCTCATCAAGGCTGCATTTATTTGATAAAAATACAGTAAAAACAGCAATATTGTGAAATATTATTACAATTTAAAATAGTTATTTTCTATTTGAATATATTTTGAAATTAAAATGTATTCCTGTGATGCAAAGCTGAATTTCCTGCATCATTACTCCAGTCTTTAGTGTCACATGATCCTTCAGAAATCATTCTGATATGCTGATTTGCTGCTCAAGAAACATTTGTGCTGTTTGATATTTTTATGTAAACTGTGATCAATTTATTTCAGGATTCTTTGATGAATATAAAGTTGGAAGGAACAGCATTTATTCAAAACAGAAATTTTTGGAACATTATAAATGTCTTTACTGTCACTTTAATACATCTTTGCTGAATGAAAAGTATTAAAGGGGTCATATGATGCGATTTCAAGTTTTCCTTTCTCTTTGGAGTGTTACAAGCTGATTGTGCATAGATAAGATCCCTGAAGTTGCAAAGACTAAAGTCTCAAAACCATAGAGATATTCTTTATCAAAGTTAAGACTCTGCCACGCCCCCCTAAAACGGCTCATTCTAACACGCCCCCACATATCTACCCCACTATGTGGAAATATTTGCATAATCCCGCCGCAAATGTGCACGCAAAGAAAGAAGGCGCGGTTTCAGTAACCGCAGTTAGTGTTGAAACAGCATGTCAGGGAGACGCTGTGTGTTTCAGTGCGAAAGCAAAAGCACTTTATTTGGATCACTTACAACAGAACAGCAATGCATTTTATGGACGACCGTTTCATGAACCTAGGAGAGGAAGTAATTCTGACTTTGCTATGACAATCTGGCACTTCTGAATCAGCTACTGTAAGTATGTTTTGTTATTAGTTTAAGTATTTGCTATTGACTGTTCAAATGCGGAGTTTTGCGCATCGTGTGTGCGTGCGCGCGTGTGTGTGAGAGAGAGAGAGAGCGAGAGAGTCACATCACAGTAGAGTCAGCTGTCTTAACCGCGGCTTGTGTACTGCATCATCACTGCGTCTGTCACGCGACTCTGTTGCCCTTTCGGGCTCTGTCTTTACATTTATTTTGAAAGATGAAACTCGCGATTATGGTAAGCATCATATGACCCCTTTAACCGTGGCTTGTGTACTGCAAACACATATTCATCACTGTGTCTGTCATGAGACTCTGTTCCCCTTTCGGGCTCTGTCTTTACATTTATTTTGAAAGATGAAGCTTGCTATTATGGTAAGGGGCGTTACATTTCCGACGCGTGCTTGTGGTGTTTGGCCAATCATAATGCACTGTGTCAGCTGGCCAATCAGAGCAGACTGCGCTTGTCAAAGGAGGGGGCTTTGTAGAAAACGAAGCGTTTGAGAGAGGCGGGGCATAGAGGACCTACAATAATGTACAGTATTTGAAAAATAATGTGTTTTTTGAACATTAAAGCATGTCAACATATTCTGTTACACCAAATACACAAAATAATGATCTTTAAAAAAGCATCATATGACCCCTTTAATTTATTAAAAAAAAAAAAGGATGCTTGAAAATTTTGGAATAACATTCACCAATGAATCATGCAATATAACACCAGATATGCATAAGTGAATTAATGTAGTCACATTTTTTGATAAATGTAACAGTTTGGTGTGCAATGTACATTTTATTTTACATTTATTTTATTTTAAAATGTTGCATAGGAATGCCACCCAATTTTCATGCCATTATAATAGTAAAATGAATTATATAATATTTAAAAAAGATATTATAAAGTATTTTTCAATATGTATTATATTCTAAAATGCTTTATGCATTTTACCAGAAAATGCATTTGTTTTTCGATTTCTGTTCAACCACATAAGACTGTGACATTTCCACCATAAAACCACCGGATTATCTTTTTTTAATAAAAAATGTTATTAATATTTCAGAGTGTCATCTTGTAAAACAAAAATTTTTCAGTTTTTAAAGAAAAAAATTATCTTGGCATGAACATTGAGCCTGAGGTGGGAAAAATGTGACCTTTCCAAATGCTGAATGGAAAATGAATGCCATATTTAGGCACCAATGGCACCATTTAATGAGACTGACCCACACAGACATACCTGTGTCCGAGCTCATGAGCGATGGTGAAAGCGACAGGTAGCCCCGAGTCCTCGTTGATATTACAGGAGCGATACGGCTGACACATGCCCGACAGGTGAGACAAGCCCAGCGTCTCACACGGCTGATTCATGCCTGCGCAGATATCCTTCCTGAGAGGAGAGATCACATCAGGTCAGACACAACACAGCACAACAGCTGCTTTGATTCTATTTATAGGCTACTAAAGTCATGCTGCAGGGGTAAAAATGCTGAAGAAGAGTTATGGCAGGGGTTGAATTCTTAGTCATTTATTTGGCTGTGTTCAGCATGCATGAGCTCTGGAGAATCTCAAAGCCTTGGACACAGAACATGGTGAAGTCATTCAGTCTGTGGTGTTCTGGGTTGAAATGAGAGCATTTAGGGTCTGTTAAATGCTCAGAGACAAACAGCTCCATTACTGCAACCAAGAAACTGACATTTATGATAAATGAGAGTCAGCGGGTTCACATGTGTGTTTGACAGCACTTTATCTTTTGGTAATGGTATTATTATGCAAATGGTATTGTGCAGTTGTTTCAGAGGTTTATTCCAGGGTACTGAGGTTTATTCAGCAATATTAAATAATTTCATGGACTTGAATAAATGTAGTTAATTTAAATGAAGATATTTAGATATTATTATTTAGATAATTTAGATGTTTTGTCAACAGACAGCTGATTTTATAACCATATTATAACTATAACCATAAGAATGTATATATTTGACAAGAATGCATAGACTTGACAGTAATGAAATATTAATACAATTTAATGCTAACTGTTTTCCATTTCAATATATTTAAAATATATATATTTTATTCCCATTGTAGAAGGTGAAGTTTTAGCATAGATTACTCCAGTCTTCAGTGTCACATGATCCTTCAGAAATCATTAATATAAATATTAGATTTAAAAAAATGTTTAAAAAGAAGTACTAAAATTACTAACACTAAAACTGAAATAAAATATATTTTTAAAACAAAAATGAATAAAAATGACAATAATACATAACAAAATAACTAAAATTAATATCAAACTAAAAATATGATTATAAAAATATGATAAAAAGCTAATACAAAAATGAATTAAATATATAATAGTATAAAAATAATACTATATATATATATATATACAGTATATATATAACAAATAAATTAAATATAAAAAAAAAACATACAAATAAGGAAAAGATATATATATGTATGTATATGTACAGTGTGTATATATGGGCCAGGGTGTTTTTACCGTGTGATGAGTATAGCGACATCATGGTGTGCAGGATGAGTGTCACTTTGAGGATTGAGGTTTTTTTGCCAGGTACAGAAGCTGTTGAGAGTCGTATCAGCGTGGTGAATGATCTTCAGCCCTTTCTGAAAACACATAAAAGTAGTAGTAAAGTAAAAGCAGTAATAATATCCAGTAACCCTACTAAAAAAAAAAAAAAAAACGGCATATGTTGTGTTTTGTGCATATGTTAACAAGCATAACCAGCAAGGTGTCCATGTTTAACCAGCACTAACCAGCACAGATCATTTTGGACCCCCTGGAAACTCACGATGGTCTAAGACAATCTGTTCAGCTAGGAAGGACTGGATGTAAAGCAAATTATGCCTTGATTCATATGTACCTCCTCTCCGTGTAGCAGAATAAGCCGGACCAGTACAATATGGATAGCATTACCAATGCTGGCATCGTGAAAAATTCCAGCCACCTACAAAAAAAAAGTGATACAAAAGATTTATATATGAAAGTCAGAGATACAATTTATTGAAGTTTATCAAGCTGGTCTTTTCTATACAATGAAAGTCATATGTTGTGTTCAAGTCATGTCGGAATGACGTATTTACGAGTTACGCACATAAACACCATCACAAAGTCGTAATTGCGAGTGGGAAACTATGAACGTTTGGTACCACTTTATTTGGATGGTCTTCTTTAGACATTCTTTTGATTATAAGTAACTTTGCAAGAGCATGTCAACTTATTCTACTAACTCTAACCCTAACCTAACAGTCCACTAATACTCTACTAATACTCTAATAAGAGTTAGGGCCAGATTAACAGTTTGCACCAGCGCAAACCCTCTTCTGGCATTAAAAATTGTCAGGATTTACTAAAGACATGCAATGAAACAATAGTGATGAAAAGGCATGGACATAGTTATTTTTACAGCTGACCATATTGCATATGCATTTGTAGGAGTTTCCTTTTCAGACGCAAGTATTTAAATGAATCATGCAAGATGATTTACTAAGGTTTGCAGTGGTCAGTTTTCTGGTATTTGCACCCTTATTTAACACCCCCAAAAAGCATTTCTTAACCCAATTTGCGCCTGTGTTGCTAGTGGATCACATGCACCAGATTATCATCGACTTTGCTTGTCTGCGACCCTACGCTAATTTGTGCTGCTCTTGGTAGGTTGTGTTGGTCATTATGGAAACGATCCGGCTGCATCTGTGTTCTTTAATTTGCACGCTGTCAGTAAATCACCCGCAAAACTTCCAGTCCCGTCTGCGATTTTATGGGATTGTGCTCTCACGCTAATTTGCCCTGTTTAGTACATCTGGCCTTTGGTTGACGTTTATTTGCAAAGTTACTTATAGCCAACAAGGGGACCATCAAAATAAAGTGTAAGTGAACTTTCTTTAAGATGTGAGTTTCCAAGTTGGGGGTGTCTGTGAAAAATATGACGTGTGCATTAGATGCAGCATCTGTATTGACATCTAAATTGCATCTACAAAATATGATAGTATTGTACAATTACAATGCATAACAATTCAATTTATAGCACCTTCATAAATTGAACAACATAAAAAAGCAAAAACACACTGATGCATTCTTTATTCATCATTCTGTAGAAGTTAAAAAATCTTGCTTAATTTTATGCATTGCCATCACTGACCAAAGTGACTTGAGTGCACCTGACATCGTAATTACGACTTACCAACTTGTAAATATGAACTTTCCAGAAGTACTTGAACACACTTACCATGTTCATGATGGTAAAGATGTAGGACTCAACGTTTCCACTTCCATGGTAGTCCACAAGTTTGGAGTCGCCCACCACCATGGTCTCCACCCAACGCTCTTTGCTGATGGAGCGAGGGGAGATCCTCCGTGGTCGTTCCCACTCTCGATGCGGATCGTGATTACGATCCCCACCCTGCTGGCGCTGCTCCTGCTCCCAGCGCTCTCTCTCCTGCTCCACCTGCTGGGAAAACTCAGAACCATCTGCACCGGAGACACACACACACACAAAAATGAGGTCCCCAAAGTAAATTTTTTTTTTGGTGAAGTATCATTTTATTGATTTTTAGACCTTTGACCCCACAGGGACTATGATGAATGCTGTGTGCATCAGTGCTACGTCGCCGCCTGATTGCACTCCAGGCTGGACTCCGGTAGATCACATGTGGGTGTCGTGGATGAGTGACGCTTGGGGTGTGGCCACGGACCGGCTCGATCAATAATGGCCCCTGCGGTAAATTTAACAACCCTCTCTATAAGAAAAGAAACAAGAGAGTTTAAAAGTTTGAGGGCAAACCGAAAGAAATTAATACTTTTATTCAGCAAGGATGCAATAAATTAATCAAAAGGGACATTAAAGACATATATAATGTTACAAAAGATTTCTATTTTAAATAAATGATGTTCTTTTGTACTTTCTATTTATCAAACAATCCTGAAAAAATGTCACGGTTTTCACAAAAATATTGTGCAGCATGACTGTTTTCAACATTGATAATTATAAGAAATTAAAGAATAATAATTTTATTGAGCAGCAAATTCAGCTTTGCATCACAGGAATAAATTACATTTTAAAATATATTCAAATAGAAAATGGTTATTTTAAATTATAATAATATTTCACAATATTACTGTTTTTGCAGCATTTTTTTATCAAATAAAGGCAGCTTTTGAGTATAAGAGACTTCTTTCAAAAACATCAATATCTTATTTTTTTTAACTCTAGTGTGTGTGTGTGTATTTTAGATTCAGATTAATTCTTTATTGTCCTTGATATTGGAAATTTATTTTCACAGACTGTACCAGAAGCAACATTCAGCACACATAAAACACACATACTGCACACATATATACACACATATTACTCAGAGGTGGCAGCAGCATCAAACACAGTGTTAATTTAAAATTACACATATTGTGAATTTAATGCTCTTACAGCTGAGGGCACAAATGAAGCTGATGAAGTTTGGTTATCATGGCGTGATGCTGAATCGTATTGAAGGCAGAGCTGAAGTCTATAAAAAGAATCCTGGTATAATAGCCAGGAGAGTCCAGATGTTGAAGAAGAGGCATGCAACAGCATCCTCTGTTCCTCTTTTAGCCTTGTAGGCAAACTGGTAAGGATCCAGCTGTGGGGAGACGACCGGGAGGATGATGTTCAGTAACAGTTTCTCAAGGCATTTTGCTATTATGGAGGTAAGTGCTGCCGGTCTGTAATGATTCAACTCAGCAGGGCGGAGTTTCTTAGGGACAGGGATGATGGTTGCTGTTTTCCAGAGGGTGGGGAGATTTGCTTTCTGTAATGACTCATTGAAGAGTGAATGGAGAACAGGAGAGAGCTCCATGGCACAGTTCTTGAGCAGCCTTCCAGTGATCCCATCTGGGCCAGGGGCCTTGCCAGTATTGCACCTCCTAAGCTGATGATAGACGTCTCCCACCATGAGGAGAACAAAATGTGGCTGCTCAGGGGTGGGTAGGCTCCTGAGCAATCTTTCACACTCAGAAGTGCAGTTCAAAGTATCAAACCTGGCGTAAAAGTTGTTCAGGTTTGTAAGTTTCTCTCACTCAGTTTAAGTCTATCGAATTTTTCGCCTATTTTATCATCCCCCAGTTGAAAATGGCACGTCCAACAGCTTATAAAAATTACAACCCAAATCTTCAACAAGCCACACGATTTGCAGTATCATTCATGTCTGTAGTCCATTAGTGGTTAATACTTAAGGATTAGGGTTTGTTGAAATCGTTTAAAGTAGTTTGCACTGTAATAACACTTCAGGTGTCAAGGCTCATTAATAAATCTTTTGTAATGTTATACATGTCTTTACTGTCATGATCAATTGATTGAACTTTTGATCAATTTAAATTCAATCCTATAGCATCATTGTTATTTCTTTAAGGTTAGGGTTTTGAACAAACGTATGTTTAACCCATGTGTTAGCCTCACATTTTAAGGGTTAAATAAGGTTGCACATTCACTCTTTACAGTCTTCTTAAAGTGTGTGTCCATATGTCTTGGACTCTGAACGCTTCAACCCATGAGATTTCATCTGGCAACTGAAACATCTCTGAAATGTGCCATTTTTCTCTTATCGCCATGTTTTCTTGGAGATGCAGTGAAATCCCAGCTTTACGGGAATGAGAATGACTCTCGTGATGCACTTCATGCACTCGTTCACCGCCCTGTAAAATGAATCAGTCCCACAGGCCAAAAACAGGTGTGTGTGTGTGTGTGTGTTCAGCACAAACTAAATAAACCGTGACCAGAAAAAAACATTCCAAATGTTTTGAAACTGGGCTGCACATAACACAAAACAGATACTAGAATTTGTGGAAGGGCAGAGGAATACACCATGAATTCTCCAGGGAGCCAGAGACACAGTGATAATATTGACTCAGCCGAGTCGATCATCCACAGAGTCTAAACAATACTAACCACTGCAACATGCATGTCTGTGATACACAGCTATGGCATGAGACTCTAACAGCACTCTTACGCATGTCCTCAAAAGAAAGAAAAATCACAAATTAGATCTCTTTGCTTCTCCTAGACATAAATGAAGAGTAAATATTTAAAGGGGTCATATTATGCGATTTCAATTTTTCCTTTCTCTTTGGAGTGTTACAAGCTCTTGGTGCATAAAGAAGATCTGTAAAGTTGCAAAGACTAAAGTCTCAAATCCAAAGAGATATTCTTTATAAAAGTTAAGAGTCAACCACGCCTACCTAAAACGGCTCGTTCTAACACGCCCCCACATACCTACGTCCTGCTCCACAGATTTTGTTTTTGTGATTTACTTTAAAATAATTTTCAGATTTAAAGGTTTTTCTTAGAGTGAAAATTGTTTCAAAGTAAATTTTTGTTAAACATTTTCATGAATAATTACAAAGAAACCACAAATAATACTAAATTAAATTAAAGGTGAAATTTTAAGTAGAAAGACAGTATTTTCTTGAAAAAACCTATGCCAAGGATCTTTGCTTACAACTTCGAAAAATCTTTTTTTTTGTTTTACAGTGCAGTAATCTCAAGTGTCTCCTCTAGAGTTTCAGAGGATATCTCAACAATGTCTTAAACTGTGCTCAGATTTGCCAAGATACCAAAGTCTGCCATCAAAATTCAGAGATCAGAATATGAACTCAAAACATTTCTCATTGAATACTTTCAAAACCAAACAATCTGACCTGCTATACTATTATTGTATGTCAACAAGTGTCTCATTTGTCTATTTCTTGTTTCTCCCGACATGCATCTTGAAAGAGGAACAGTTGAATTCTCATATGTCCTAACAAAAATTATTATTTTAAATCTCTCATGCTACAAAAAAGTACCAAGATTTTTGAACATGCATCATGGCAATGCCATGTTTTTGGGCCCATCACCATGATAGTACTATAGTACTCTTTGAAGTACCTTGGATCAACATTGAAATACTATGGTATATGAATATGAACTTGAAATCATTAACTATTAAAAGTACCATGGTATTATTGTAACGCCCCTGTGGACTGTTTATTGTGGTTTCTCCCCCTTTTGTTGGTTTAGCCCGTTCAATCATTAGTTAATTATCCTCAGTGTGCTCACCTGTCTGCCCCTCGTTATCAGCCCTATAAGTTCCTGTCTCGTGTATTGTAGTATTGTCGGTTATTGTGAATGTTACCCTGAGTGTGTGTGTGTCATCTACCCGTATCTTATCATCTGATGCTGTAACTGCACACAAAATACCATGATATATGCATGATCAAATATTACAATTCAGTCAAAATACTAAAAAGTAATTCAAAAGAAATAAAATAAATGTACCATATTAGTACCATGGTATATAAATATTGTAATCATTCAGTTAATATATAACAAAATACTACAAATATTACAATTCTTTTTATATATAAGATGAGATGTCCCATTTTGGTGTCCGTATCAATTAAATTTAAAAGTGTTTTTTATACAGAAGGCATATGAAATGCAAACAAAGTGTCTGTTTTAATGTTTCAAATAACTTTTGTGAAAATAAAATGTTAAAATATGGATGAAAAATGTTCCATTGATATTCAATGTAACCAATATATTTATATAAAAATCAAACATACTTATTTTGACCTGTAATTATTAAAATATATATAAGAATAAGTGATTGTATTAAATTTAGTTATATTTTAAATGATAAAAAATACAATTAAACAGGACACATTCTAATATACAGAGAAAAAAAATTAAGCTGTAAACGTTTCATCTTTGACCCATATATATATATATATATATATATATACACACACAATATAATAACAACTGTCATTTTGCTGCCAAAATACTTTTTACACAAGCAAAAAATACATTTAATTCATCTCCGTCTTTTGTGGGCCCGTCCTCTCTTTCTCTCTCCTCATCTGCTCCTCACAGCAGAAACGTGAGCTTTGGTGTTAAGGGGCATTATGAAAACAAAAGCTGAACTGCTAAATACAGAAGCCATGTGTGTGTCGCTGGGCTTCCCGAGTTCCTGCAGGTTTTGGTAGGACTTCAAACAGGATATATAGGCATTCCATCTTATGTAGGGGACTTCAAACTACAGTATAGCACTTCAAAACCAGCTGTACGCTTTCTGGAGGGCAGGAAGAATGTATGGATCTAATGACTAATGCAGAGTGGGTCAGTGACAGGTAGTTATGGTTATCTGTAACTGCTCTGGTTTGAAACAAAAGTTGAACAGGAAAGGAGTTAACATAGTTCAGTGCTAATGAGGTTTTCACAAGGACCATAAACCAACAGTAAACAATCTTAAAGTTCAGTTTATTGTGCTATGAAATGCACCGCATTACTAAAATACTTTCTCCCATCCTAGATTAATGTGTAGAGATGACTATAAGTAAGAGAATACACACAATGGCTCTGCTTTCAAGATCATTCACTGTTTAAATGTTTGCCGTTAGTAAGATTTTTAAAAATAAATTAATAATTTTATTCGTCAAAAATGCATTAAATTGATCAAAAGTGACAGTAAAGACATTTATAATGTTACAAAATATTTTATTTCAAATGTTGTTCTTTTGAACTTTGCATTTATCAAAAAATTTATCAATTTCTTCAGTTTTTTAGAATGATTTCTGAAGGATCATGTGACACTGAAGACTACATTAATGATGCTGAAAATTCAGCTTTGCATCACTGGAATAAATTAAATTTTAAAATATATTCAAATAGAAAACAGTTATTTTAAATTGCAGTAATATTTCACAATATTACTGTTTTTACTGTATTTTTGATCAAATAAATGCAGCCTTGGTGAGAATAAGAGACTTCTTTCAAAAACATAAAAAAATCTTACAAACCCTAAACTTTTGAACAGTACTCTTTAGTTTGTTAAAGCAGTCCGAAATGTCAACGTTCGGCTTAACCAATGGCTTGGGTTTGGGGTGGGACAACCTGATTGGATAAAAATAAAAGATGGTAAAAGTAATTACCACAGTCAATGTTTTTGCAAAATAATGGTGATCACTATACATTCTCCTTGTATGAAAAAAAGGAGTAAACATTTTTTTGTTAAAATTACAGCATGATGACAGAATTTTTATTTTTGGGTAAACTATTCCTTTAAAGTCCCCATAAAATCAAAATTAAAGTTTTTTGGGTGTTAGTATCAATATGTTAGTCTTAAGGTTATCTATAAGGCAGTGTGCTCCAAAACAGTGACAAAATTTGCATTTAGAAGATATAAGCATTCAAAGCTTGCAGTTCGTCACTTCCGCCAAAACGGCTCAACGATTTTTTTGACGTCACATCGTACTTCAGCTTCTCATCAAACTTTCTGTCCAATCAAATGCTCTCTAGAATCCGAAGCGCCCGCCCCCTACACTATAAAATAGTGAAGCCGCTGCTGAAATCGGTCACTTGTCCACAGAATTAGTATTTTCTGTACAGTGAATGGCACGTAGTGCACTATATAGGGGACAGGGAACGATTCAAACTGTGTAAATATGCTTTCCATTGAGGAAAAAAGAAGTCTGGTTTGGCGCTTTCGCGCTGTGTCCCGCTAACACACACTCTGCTCCGGTCCAGAGACACGATAGCACGGAGCGGATCACATGACCGAGTCGGCGCAGACCACAAAATGTATCGGAACTATTTGAATTCTACACAGAATGCTATATTTTACAGCAATATGGATGGGATTGTGGCTGGCATACCCTGTCAATTGCGGCTTTACGGAGCTCAATGGCTCTGAACGGCTCTAGCCCAAGCTGTGATATAAACGAACGCTATTGGCTATTTTAAAAATGGGCGGGGCTGCTTGATATGTCCCGCCCTGTCTTCCTGTTTCAGTTAAAATGACGTCAACAAATAGAGTAACGCTGCGTGTTTCTAAGCATTTCAGGGGACCTTTAAAAAGCTTTACGGAGCTCAATGGCTCTGAACGGCTCTAGCCCAAGCTGTGATATAAACGAACGCTATTGGCTATTTTAAAAAGGGGCGGGGCTGCTTGATATGTCCCGCCCTGTCTTCCTGTTTCAGTTAAAATGACGTCAACACAGAGTAACGCTGCGTGTTTCTAAGCATTTCAGGGAACCTTTAAGAACTACAGGAAACATTCCACAAGCTCTGCAAAGTGTAGTTTTTGGTCACTGCTCCAACACCAAATGCACAGCACAAAACATTAGCACATTGTTATTTTTTTAAATTCGTGCATGTTGGCAGGGCATAAACACACTAGACTAATCAGTTGCACCTCATTACATTTTAGTTTGGTCACACACATGGCAAAGAATCCTGACTTTATCCACTTTAAAAAGCAAAAGCACCTGGCATCGTCTCAACATCCTGCACAACAATATCGCAGAGGACTATCTGTCTGTTATTTTCTGATTCTTCCATTAAACAAGAATCTGTCTCTGAGGAGTGAATGCATACAAGTTAATGGAATCTCAGCGTAGTAGCAACAGAAACTAACAGCGAATGTTTGGAAGAAAAAAATAACACGAGAATGCAATGAAGCGCTGTTGATTGACATAAATGCGACCTTACAGGAGGAGCATGCATGCTCGGGCAATGACTGACAGACAGAGAAAGCATTTAGTGCAGGTACTGCATGCATACTTGTGCAAATTATGCATGCGTCTAATAAATCAAAGCTCATTTTAAAGTCCAGAACTCTTTCCTGTGCTTTCACCAACAACCGATTCCCTCTGCCTCTCTTCTTTTCCCCCTTTGCAACTTTTTGTTCAATTGCCAAGTTAGAATGAGTCATGTTATGTGCTGACACACTGACCTGGTTACAGTTCTTCTCAAGTTCCCCACTTTTTATGAGCATCCACTCTGAATAACAGGCTACTGTTGGATCTTATTACATGGCTCTCTGATCGGTCAGTCATGGCTTTCTGCAGTTAAATATTGTTGTATAATAATGTTTAATAGTATAATTGACTGTTTTGCCACATAACTCATTTCCAGCTCTTTTCTTTCTTGGATTTGAAAATCATTTGAACTCAGATCAATATTTCATGTCCATTCCATATGTGGCATAATTTACTGTCAGACGGTCATTATCTGAAAATATAAACTCTTTCAGATCTACTCTGCGGACACAAGATACAGTCGGCCAACATGCTGCTGTTTCTTTGCAGAGTCACTCTGAGGGCCAAACACTGACTTCTTTTTGAAAACAAATCAGGGGCCAAAGAGTCAAGAGTCTAACAGGCCAGTCAATGTCGTTCCAGACAGGCATTTGTTCAGTCTGGGACCACCAGGTTTATGAGAGCTATTCACTAGCAGTGTTGTTATTGTTAACAAAAACTAAAAATTATACTATCAGTAATTGAAATAGAGCTGAAATAAAATAAAAATCTAAATATTAGATGAAAAACTCTAAATATTAAGTTGAAAAAGCTTAAAAATGTAAACGAAATATATTCTTTTTTTAATGGTTAAGTTGAAGAACTATAATAACTAAAACTGAAATCAAATTAAATGAAAGCTACATACAAATATTTAAAAATATATAAATGTATATATTTAATAATTATTATTATTACTGTATATATAATATTTAATAATGATATATATTTAAAAAGCACACAAAATTATTAAAACATAAACTAAAATTAAACTGAAGACTGAATATATAAAAAAATAAAAGCCAGGTCAAAATATTAACTAATATAATAGTATACAAATAATTCTAAAATAACATTGTTTAATGTGGGCTTCTCAAAGAAAGATTGTTATGTTGAACTTACGTCGACATTAACCAATAGATGATATCGGATGAAAAGAAAAGTTTTTCAGAGAAAAACAGATGTTTTCTTTAAAATAATATGCACTGATGAATTAAATCAGGAATATGCATTAAGAAAGTAAATAAGGTCAATTTTGATGTTGACATTAAAGAAATAGTTCACCCAAAAATGAAACTGTACTCATCCTCAGGCCATCCAAGATGTAGATGAGTTTGTTTCTTCATGGGAACAGATTAGGAGAAATTTAGCATTACATCACTTGCTCACCAATGGATCCTCTGCAGTGAATGGGTGCCGTCAGAATGAGAGTCCAAACAGCTGATAAAAACATCACAATAATCCACAAGTAATCCACACCACTCCAGTCCATCAATTAACGTCTTGTGAAGTGAAAAGCTGCGTGTCTGTAAAAAAAATCTGTTCCAATGAAGAAACAAACTCATCTACATCTTGGATGGCCTGAGGGTGAGTACATTTTCATTTTTGGGTGAGCTATTCAACCAATGACAATATCTGCACTACCGCAAGTACAGTAAGTGAATTCACACCAGAAATGAATTGCATGATACATAAAAGAAGTGACAGATTAAGTCAGATAATTCTCACCAGTCCCTCACAGGTGCTGATGGCGGCGGTTCCCTGCTCGTTTCCATCCATTACCGTGCCAATAAGGTGGCAGGCTAGGTTCCAAGATGTTTGCGACCGCTTTTCTGTTAAACTCCTGTTGTGTTTCTTCAACACATATTCGTTGGAGAGCAGATTGTCATTGGTGGTTAGATTGAGAGTGAACTCCTGACCTTTGTAGTTGAGTTTGTAAAACACTCGCCTCTCTGCTGAATTCAGGTCCCTCTTATGTCGCCTGAAGTGATGTGATAAAGAGTATGAGATTAACTTCCCATTCCCGTCCACTTTTTCAGGATGATCCACATAAAACTCAGACTGCTGCTTGATGAAGAGCTCTAGAAATGAAAACAAGAAAATTCTCTGTAACTCATTAATAGTATTTCACTTTAAGTACTTATTACAGCAGACAATCTTTTTTGGATCTACACATCTTCTGGGTGAATCTCACAAAAAACATCAAGAAATATCATATTTCACCCTAAAATTAATATATGTGTGTATATGTGTGTACAATACAATTTTTGTTTATTTTATAAATACATGTGTATTTTATTCATATGTGTGTGTGTGTTTTTTTATTTTACATTACAATATTTTAGGTGGAATTCGAGATGGAAATTGATATATTCAAAATATATACAGCCAAAATGACTGATATGTTGATGCACCGACTACCTTCTATTACAATGAACAGCTGTGCAAGTCTCTCAAAATGCATGCTATACAAGATCATAATGAAGTAAAAAAAATGACACATTAAAGGGGTCATATGATGCTGCTAAAAAGAACATTCTTTTATGTATTTGGTGTAATGAAATGTGTTTATGCGGTTTAAGGTTAAAAAAACACACTATTTTCCACATACTATACATTATTGTTTCTCCTCTATGGAGAAACTCTGTGATTTTTACAAAGCTCATCGGTCTGAAAAGCGAGGTGTGCTCTGATTGGCCAGCTATCCAGTGCGTTGTGATTGGCCGAATACCTCAAGCGTGTGACGGAAATGTTACGCCCCTATCATACTGTGATGCAA